AAACAGACACTTATTAAGTATCAACTGTGTACCATGCATTATGCTAGCTACTGAGCATACATCCCTGTCATCAAGGAACTTAGATTCTGTCAAGAGAGGAAACTCATGTCATACGTATAGCCTTTAGAGACTCTGCAGGGTCTTTCCTCCAACTTCCATTCTAACCAACAAGTTGGGTCTCCAAAGGTCAGTTATATCTTCATCTTCCCTCATCATTTTAGGGAGTAATCTTGAGGTTTTGTAGGATGTACTCAAATGTGCTCAAACACCAATCCAGCATATTCCCTGTCCCCAAATAATTCAACCAGTTATCTCTTCAATATCATCTAACTAACTTTTACAAAGGGATGTTTACTGAGAAGATATAGTAAGAACAGAATTACAAACCCATTTACTTCCTCCCTCCTCTGAAGTATGGATACACACTTCTATCTACTATCTCTTTCTCCAGAAAGAATGGGCTCAGATTTAAAGTGGTTGCTCCAATTCATTTGTCCCCACCAAATTCATTTCTGAATTCAGCCCAGTCATTCCAGTTCCCTCAAGACGTAGAATCTTGGCTGATGTTTTGATCTACTGCTGAGGAAGCAAGTCTCCCACCAGGCTCAACTACTGGCAAATTTTGGTATGAACACAGTTCCTTTACCTCTAGTGTCTCTTCTGATTTTTCAAAGTTCACGAGGTTGAAGCTGTATCTGTTCCATCTTGAATACTCTTTTATATAAGAGTAGGAAAAAATGAAGCATAGCTGATACAGAAAAACAATCATGCCATGCACTCATGGTTTCAGGTTGACTTGGGTAGGGAGAATAGGCCACTAACTCTATCTCTCTCTCCCCATCCAGGGAAGGTCCAAATTTATAACAGTCCTTGCCTCAGTCACCAACAGAAGAGAGAGATGGAGTTGACTGGTTAGAGCTATTTTGTTTGTACCCATAGTTCCGGCTCAGCAGTCCACCAAAACGCTTTTCTTTACCATTAAGACTTGGTTTAGGAAACAGAAAATGCATGTCTACACCCTGAAGTGGCCTGTCTATTGCTGTTCCTCACACACTTCTAGAAGTGGGCTCACCCTCTTATGCATGCTTCCAGAAGATGGCAAGTCAGTCTGTGTGTGTGTGTGTGTGTATGTGTGTGTGTGTGTGTGTGTGTGTGTGTGTATGGATAGATATAAACATATAGATATATATACACATATATGTATATATGTATGCATGCATGTGGATATCATGATATATGTACCTATATACATAATACATACAAAATATATACTAACTAAATTCAGGGTAAAGGGGGGAAGGGCAGTAATAGCTCAGGAGGTTTTCTAGGTTTTCCCCAACAGTAGATAAGGAAAAAGATGAAGTTAACAATTTTATCTGTGTATGACAGTTGATTAATAAAGCCAAACTAATAAAAATTATTAATAAAATCAATAAAATCAGTCAATTAATTAAAGAAGGTCTCCACATAGAAGAGTTAGCCTAAGTACAGCTAAGATTTAAGGGACCCCAGCTATGACAAACATCATCCCAACTGACCTGCCTGAAATGCCCACCATTAGAGTCACTCTTTTGGGTTTAGACAAACACAATGACTATTATATTCAGTCCTTGTTTTTAAACATAGTGCATTGAAGCCATGTAATGTTGTGATATGAACACCGAACGTGGACTCCTGGTTTTTACTCTAGTTCTGACACTTGCTAATTTTATAACCTTATACAAGGCAACTAACTCAGTTTTCTCACTTGCAAAATATGGGGAGAATAATATCTGTTTTACCATCTACCTCACATATTGTGAATAAAGTGCTTTATAAACTTTAAAGAACTATATAAATAGTATTCTAAGGAAGCAAAAGAGGATCATTATAAGGTGCTCTGATAGACACCTAGTACTACCTTTATCTGCTCAATCATTGGCAGAACCCATTAAATGAGTGGACAGATGTGGAGAGAAACAAAGTTGAGATCTTAAGTAGCAGAATTAAATGAGCAAAATTAGTGTGAATTAGTAAAGAATGAGGTCTATCTACATTTCTAGAAGTCCACTGAGTGTTACTTGGGAGAAAAGAGAAGTAGAGATAAAGGATAAAACATCCCCTCAGAAAAATGATAAACCTAACCTCAAAGATGACTGAGAGAAGCTTTTGGAAGGATGTTGTCCTTTTGTATTTAGAATTATTCACTGCTTTGATCAGCTATTGATTTAATCAATAATTCAATGATTATCTGAATTATTTTAATGTTTCATAGGCCTAGTGTTGAAGTGATGAGGAAGGGAGAGGAGAGGAGAACAACTTTGGCCTGTGTGTGGTGAGAATATAACTCATGATTAGTCATATGGGCAGGTGGGGCAAGATAGATATACGTACTGAAGTGGGGATGGTATTGAAAAAGAGGAAATGTCTTTATATTCTGACTAGGGCCAACTTTGGATGAAAAGATGATATTAAAGTGGCAATTAACACCCTCAGAAAGTCTTTGAACTTTTTATAACAAAATTGGTATTAGACACAAAAATCCATCTTGTAACATGAATATTCTCTAGGGAAGGTAATATAGATGCAAATCATGAAACACTACTCTCCCCCAAGAACCAGAATTGTGGGTAACCTAAAGAGCAATAGAAAGATACATGTGGGGTGGGCCAGTAAATGCTCATCAACCAGCTCTTTGGGAAAAATAATATACACAGGGCACACTTTTAAATTTAACCTGCATTATTAACACTTTCTCCATGAACTTAAGTCTATAGAACCAACAGAATTATAAATCAAGTCCTGTTTTGTAGTTTTGCAGATTTCTGAGTTGCTCATACTCACAATGAAAATTTAACAATCAGTTCTTGTTAAAGGGTTCAAACCAAGCTGATCTGAGCTGACTGCAGCATACTGGATGCATGGTGGGTATAAGTAGATGGTGACTTTCTTTTTTAAATGATTTTGTGGATATCTTGGTTTTTTTTTTCTCTCAGTATCCCTCGCTGCTCCTAGAGAGCCATCCCATATAACAAATACTGTGAAGGGAAAAAAATAAAAAGAGGAAGATGTAGAACTAATCAAAACTGATCAATACATTGAAAAAGTCTGAAGATATATGCAATGTTTTACACCCATGTACATCTTATGTCTGCAAAGCAGTGGGGTAGGAATATCATATCTTTTCTTCGGGGTCATGCTTATTATTTGAAATTTTGAAATATTCACTCTTATTTTGTGGTAATTGTTCTTTCCACTTACACCACTGTAACCATTGTGTATATTGGGGTTTTTTTCTTTGGCTCTGGCTTTATTAATTGCACTCAGCATCAGATCATGTGAGTCTTTCCATGCTACTCCATATTCATGACATTCATCATTTCTTATGGTGCAGACATATTCCATTACATTGATATTCCACAATTTATTTACCCATTTCCAATCAATGGGCATCAATTTTATTTCCAGTTCATTGCTACCACAATAAATGTTGCTATAAATGTTTTGGTAAGTATAGAGACTTTCTTCTTCTCAATGACTGCCTTGGGATATGTATCTAGTAGTGGAACCTCTAGGTCAAAGGGTAGAGACATTTTAGTCATTTTATTTGCATAATTCTAAATCACTTTCCAAAATGTTTATACTAATTCATAGCTGTACTGACAAAATCCTTCCAACATTAACTATTCCCATCTTTTGTCATCTTTTCCAATTTACTAAGTGAGGTGAAACCTCAAAGTTGTTTTGATTTGCATTTCTCTTATTTCACATGGTTGTTGATCGTTTGAAATTCTTCTTTTGAAATTGTTCATATCCTTTGACCATGGCTATGAGTAGTTTCCAATGGTGACTTACATGCAAGGAGTTGTGTAAACAATATAATTAAAGAAATATGTGATCAGAAAAGGAGGTGGGCTGATTCTTGTAATGTGAACAAGGAATAATACCTCGATAGACTAAGTGTAGTGTTGCATTGGTATACATGCTAGGTTAAAGGACCTAAAAGATCTCCCATGTGTTTAATAGAACCTCTGGGGCAAGAGCTCTTAACCTGAGGTCTATGAAATTTTTAAATATGTATTTTGTTAACTATATTTCAATATAGTTGGTTTATAACCCTATGTATTTTATTTTATGCATTTAAAAATATTACTCTGATGTGAGGTCCAAAGACTTCATGAGACTACAAAAGGAGTCTATGTCACAAAACAAAAATTAAGAACCCTTGTGTGTGGAGAGAAATTTGACAAGAATCATACATCATGATGAGATATCATATAATACATTATAATCTGCACTACACCAATGGAAGCATATATGAATCCATTCAAAGAAATACCATGAAACATGCATTATTCTAATCTTTTGAAAAACACTAGGCAAAAAATAGGCCTGAGCCAGGATTACCTGAAGATGAGGGGGAGAGATGCGGCCAAGCTCTGGAGACCCAAATCATTAGTGGAAATATGAAGAGGGATGAGAATGCCTCAGAGCTTACTTAGACCATAATATAATAGCCAGTCAAGGAAGTTAAAAAGAAAAGGACTTCCACATAGCAGTGAGGGCCCATTTGAAATTATACATTATCAATGTGCAGTGAATATAGTGAGCACAGTTGTGTGACTTCGTTAGTATTCAATGTCATGCAAATGGAAGCTGAGAAGCAGCTCTTCTATTAGGCCCAAGATTTAGAAATTAGGTAACAATGGATTAGGAATTCACTTCCCTTTGGGGTAATTTCCCTTTATTTACAGTATAATTTCCTTTGTACATAGAGAGACACAAAAACCCTCTCCTCTGGAATGCATCTTCTAAAAGGTCTAAAAGGTCAAAACAGTGCTTTGATATCCATACTTCTTGACAAGAAGGTTGAGCATTCCCTCACCAATGAACTACTGCCTGTTTATGCAGGAATGTCAAAGAACCCCAGTTGTCTTCCAGTCTAATAATAGCTAAATTTTATATAGCAATTTAAAGTTTACAGTAATACATATATATGTAATCTCATTTTATCTTTATAGCAATCTTGTGATGTGAAGGTTACTGTTACATCCATTTTACAGATGAGGAGCCTGAGTCTGAGATATTAAGTGAATTTCCCAGGATCACACACCAAAAATTGTCTGAGGTAAGTTTCAAACTTAATCTTTCTGACCAAGTCCAATGCTGTAATCATCTATGTTACCTAACTACCTACTTTTCTTGGAAGGAGCCTAACTACCTAGTATTTTTCAATCATAAATAATGGTCATCACCTCTCATTACATTTCCAACCAGGTCTCAAAGCAAATATGCTCTGAAGGCTTGCCTTCAATTCTAAATCTGCTTAGGAGTAGTATGACGGGAACTGGGAGCTCAGAATCTTTGCTCTAGCTCAGTTAGACTACTCAAGAAATTTTATTAGCTATTCTTCACAACCTTTATCAGCATTTTTCAGTTGAAGTGCACATTAAGTGACGAGATCACTTTGGCTCATTATTTAAGAACTTTCCCAGTAGAGTATATGGACATTGCAGCTGCTACAAGCATGGCAGCCTGCCTAATCCCATGAACTGATTACCAAGATCTGATTGCTGCAACATTCCATCATCCACACAATGTCTGACCACTAGAGTATTCAGTGCGAGATAGTGACCTTCCATTTTTAAGGTCCTTAGGGTACAGGAAATGTACAAGGTGAGTATAAGGTCTGAGTAAGTCTGGAATAAAGTGAAGTAGGGGCTAAATAGTTTTCTTTTTAAAAATTTGATCTCTTTTATTTTCACTGAATAAATATCTTTCACCTACAGTTCTTCTTCTAAGTCTGACTTTTCCATGCTTCCAGATTTCCTGACTCAGAGAGCCTACTCTTCACCCCATTCCTCTTCATCCACACTCTGGGGATCTGCATGGTTAACTGTCTTCAGAAGTTGTTCGCCTCATCTCTTGTTCCATCTCTTTCTGTCTCTGTCTCTCTCTCTCTGTGTCTGTCTCTCTCTGTCTCTGTGTATGTGTCTGTGTCTCTCTTTGTCTCTCTATCTCTGTTTCTCCCTCTTCCCCTACTCCCATCTCAAAATGCCCATCCTATGAATCAAGTTCCCAGACCTGTACCTGGCATCCAATTCTTTCTGTAATGGTTTAAGTGTGTCTATGCAACGCCCTTCCAAGCCGGTTTAACTATGTCTTTACTAAAACAACTGGATCTCTAGTTCTAAACTTGAATTCCCTAGTGGGCCCTTCTTTAGATCACCACTACTGACTGCTAAGCAAGCAAAGACACTACTAGGAGTAATAGATCACAGGCACTTCCTCTATATACAATCACTTCTCTACCTCTATGTGGCAAATCATTGGCTCTTCTTAGGCCTCTCCCCCTGACAGTGGATCCTGAAGACTTAATGTTATAACAGAACAAGGATAGGGACTGGACCTGTAGTTTCTTTAGTATAGATAACTCTCAGATTTGAAAGCTCTCTTTGCCAATGTAGGTCTGTACCTTTTCTCATGTAGATTTGAAGAGTTGCCTAGAGTACTGAGAGGTTAAGTTACTTACCCAGGATCACACATCCAATCGGTGTCAAAGACTGAATTTGAACCTGGATCTTCTTTACTTCTTTACAACATTTGACCTGCTTTATCATAATGCCTCTCGGGTTATAACAATTACTAAAAAGAATTGTACAAACAAAAAGCATCATTGTCATATTCATGATTCTCTCCCTCCCTGACTCCCTTGCTCCAATAATGAAGTTGGGCTTTTTGCTGTTTATTGTTTTTGCAGCAAACATTTTAACCCTGAAGTAACTGGTTTCCTTGTCAAAATTCCTTTCCCTCTCTAATTGATCCTCTCCATGGCTATAAAATTGATATTTCTAAGTCATAGGTGTAATCATGTCACTCTCCTATTCAAGAAGCTTCAATATTTCCCTATCACCTCTAGGAAAAAAATACTTCTGTCTGGCATTTATTTACAATAAGCCTCTGACCTATTCTTCCAGACTGATTTCACATTATTCTCTCTCACATGCTCTACATTCCAGCCAAACTGGCCTACTTACTGTTTCTAGCCCAAGTGCCCTTGCACTGACTACCCTCATACCTGGAATGCCCTTGCTCCTCACCTCTACCTCTGGGAATCCCGAGTTTCCTTCAAGGCTCAGCTCAAGTGCCACTTCCTACACAAAGCCATTCTTGGTCCTCCCAGTTGTTAGTGCTCTTACCTCTGAAATTAATATGTAAATAATGTATATTTACTTAATTGCATATCTCCTGTCTTCCAGACCACCACCACCATTAGAATATAAGTTTCTCAAGAGACAGAGACTTTGATTTTTGTCTCCATATCTTCAGCTCCTGGCACATAGTAGGTGTTTTTAAATATTTGTTGGATTGAATTATATCAGACAAAGAAGACAGTGACATCTATTCCTTTCTTACATTACATTCTTTGTAGAGAGTAAAAAAAAAAAAAACATTTAGAGAAATCCTAAGATAAATATAAGAATTTTAGATAATGTGTCATACATAAATTTAACAAAAGCCTTGATATCAGTCCAGATCCTGAAATCTCCAGGACCTATTACAGAGATTTTTATTTGGGGAAATTTGAGAAGGAGATAGAGAAAAAGAACTTTGCTTCTGAGACTTCAAAAGAGGTCAGGACAACAGCAAATAAATAAAAAAGTAAAACAATGATGGAATGTGTTGCTGATCTAACCAGAGAAAAATGATTGAAGCCAATAGCAAGGGGGGAAATCTTCAAATAAGTTCCTATCAATACTGATAAGAAGACTCCTTGTTTCCATTTGTCATGGTAGGGTCTTTGGATCCCAATATGGATGCACTAAATTGAGAACTCCTATATTCATTGTCTCTACCACTTGTTGTGTATTACAGGTGCTAAAGAAAAGCTACGTGTTGTTATGAAAATAAAAGAAGCACACAAAGGATGGCTGATTTAAGGAATCAAGAGATCTTATTCAAAATTCAAAATTTTGTAACATTCAATGGATTGGTTATCTCTAAATGCCAAGACTTCAGATTGTTGGTCAGTGGATATTGGCAAGGTCTTGAAGGAGTTTATGGGCTCTGATTACGGAGTTGCTTCTGTAGCTGGGTAATTCAATATGGTGACACAAAAAGTTCAAAGATAGATCAAGTGTTCTACACACCCTAAATCCAGGCCTCCTGTTATTGTATGTAATCAAAGCAAAATTCATATCTGGAATTTATCCTAACATGCTCCTTAGGAACAGAAAGATATACATTATTCAAGTATAAGTTGCAATAAACAATAAAACAGTTACTATTCTTACTGGAATTTTGATACTTGACTTCTAGCCACTATGCTGCCATTACTGTCACTAATATGTTCCTGTCATTGTAACAAGTGCTGTCATTTTTCAGGTGTTCATCACTTTCAAATAAATCTAAACTTGAAAATAAATTGAAAGCAAAGCTTCGTAAGATGTCCACAGACTTTACAATTAAGATGTTTGGCAGGGATAAATATGTTCTGGCAACATCACTCATCTCATATTTCAAGAACAAAATTGAAACCATACTTCCGAGGGGCACAAACACTGATTGCTATATGTTCTTATAAACAGGGTACTACAAACAGTGCTACATCATTTTCTTTGCCCTCTTTTACTTTCATGTGAAGTTCAAGAACATATCACATAAAGAAAGCTTCTGAATTGAATTCAGAAAAGAGACAACAATCCAAATGGCAAAAGCAGAGAAAGAGCCTACAATAGAAGTAAATGTAAAAACAAAAGTAAAGTTACATGACAGATGCAAAATAATCTTAGTATACATGATCAGAAATGATATGACATATAGAATAGAGTGCTGGATTAAAATTGTCTCTGATACTTACTAGGTGTGTTTCCCTAACCAAAGACAATCGCTAGATGCCCTAAGCAGCTTCCTGGGTCTTATCTGCTAAGCCTTGAATACTATGTGCCAGGAGCTGAGGATATGAAGACAAAAATCAAGTTTCCACATCTAAGAGTCCCTATGCTGAGGAAATCATGGGTGCTTTGAGTATTTGCATGTTCATAATCATAAAAGGATCGATGATCCCAAAGCACAGATAACCCCAAGGCAGCATTTTAGTTTTGAGTTTAAACCTTATCATTTCAACAGTGTTTGAATGAATTATGATTGTTTCTAATCTTGTGTCAATCAAGTCACCATATTCCCTGTGTGATTCTTTATTCAAGTGAGTATTAAGATCAAACATTTTAAATACCACCCAAATAGTACACTGCCCCAATGATGTGATGCTAAATCAACTCAAGCAAAAGTTCCAGAATGTTGTGACAGCAGATTCTGACAGCAGAATTCTTTCTCCTTATTAGTCTAAAATAAAAGTAATACTAGACCTACTATAATGTAAAGGTTACTTACACAGAACATAGCAGAAGTGGGTATTGTATGTAATTGCACATTTTTATGAAGCCTTAAAAGTCCTTCATTACTTTCTATCACATTCATGTCTTTGGTAATTTTTAGCATAATATAGTCCATATGAATATTCTTTTCCCTCAGAAACCATGCCATCTCTAAAAACTAAATTCTTCATCTTGCTGAAGACCAGTTTCTAGGTTTGTTGGGAACAAGAAAGGTATTAAAGGCATTAAGGAAGGGAAGATTGGTATTTGCTGGAGGGCTGGACATCTATTTATTTAAACTAAGTATAGTTAGTAATAATATCTCCATCTTCTTTTTAAATAATTTTGAGGTGAGGAAGAAAATGTTTGAGTTTCCAGGCACTTGGAACAATGGCTAGCTTTGTGGTTGGAATCACTAATGGTCACATCAGGGTCATGCTTAAAGTAACCCTAGAGGGACCATATAAAGGAAGATCATTGCAAATAGTGAACTACAGTGATTCATTTCCTATAATAACCCAGCTAAAACCATCAACTCTAGTTCCAAATCACAAAATATTGCAGTCAAAGGCCATAAACTATAACATTTGCCTAGAAGAACAAGCATTGATTGGCTCACCTAGTTTTTCCAATGTTTCAACTAAAGATATGGTCTTATTGCTGGTATAATTGCCCACTTTAAGAAAGTTGGACTTTCGCAATTGACAGTCAAGTTTTCAACACAAACCATTTCTACATGGTATATTTTGCATTCCTTAGAAGTAAATATTATTTGTTACCTTAGCTGATGTTTGTTTATAAAATTAAATGAAAAAAATTTACCACCTTAGTCATTACCCAGAGAAGATAAAAAGCAGTATAAGATAAGGAGCCCCAGAAATACAGAGTTATTCCAAAGGAAAAAGTAGTATAAACCCATCTGTGGCCATCCCTTACCATGGAGTTTCTGCACAACAGGAAAGAGAGCCATATAGCCTCACTTCTCAATGCCAATACAGTTCTATAGTCTTCTAACATATGTGTGTATGTGTGAAGAAAAAAAAAGCACTGAGGCAGTAGCTAGGGGAGGAGCCAAATATTATGTCATCTAATGAAATAATCAGACAGGAAATGGTATATAGAATAAAGACAGACAGAGATTGATTTGGGGAAAGCCATGTTCCCAAGAAGGAAAACCTGAATAGAGTAAAATGAATAAGGAAATCAGAAAAGGTTATAACACAATGAAAAAATATTATATTCTGATAGAAAATCATGTTTAAGACCCCAATGAAAAAGAAATGAAGACAAGTAATTCTCTAACAAATAATTGGAAAATAGCAAGATATTCATGAATGTTTCAAAAAAAATGAGAAAATTAAAAGAAAGAATGAGGATTGAAGTTAGGCCTAACATTATTAAGGAAATCAGAATTCTCAAAGAGGAAATCAGTAAGACAAATGAGAGGATACACAATTTGGAAAACACAATGAAGTATCTCTCCAGGACAATAGAATCTGACAAAAAAAAGTAATAGACGTGGAACTCAAAAGCACATATTCCAAAGAAAATTTGGTGAAAGAAAATTAAAAGACAGCAGAATTCAAAGAATACATGAGCTCTTATAAGTTAAAGAAACTGGCCTTGGGGGCAGCTAAGTGGTACAGTGGAGAGAGCACCAGCCCTGGAGTTAGGAGAACTTGAGTTCAAATCTAGCCTCAGACACCTGACACTTACTAGCTGTGTGACCCTGGGCAAGTTACTTAACCCCATTGCCTAGCCAAAGAGAGAGAGAGAGAGAGAGAGAGAGAGAGAGAGAGAGAGAGAGAGAGTCTGGCCTTGAGGAGAGGATTATAGAGCTAATTTCAGATTCTTAGGTGTTTCAGAAGGACATGATGAAATGAAATGCTATACACCATACTTAGTAAGTAATGCAAGGAAATTTCCCATAAATATGAGAAGCACCAGGTAAAGTATTGATAGATAGAACACAGAAATCAACAACAGAAAGAAACTTAAACTTAAATCACCATGAGTATAGTGATTAAATTACGTAATTTTCAATTCAAACAAAATATTAAAGACAGTCAAGAGCAATATATTTATCTATGAAAGAAAACCAATTCAAATAACCTAGAATGGCACCCCATCTGTGAGAAATAAAAGAGGGTTTGGATATCATATTCCTTAAAAAAGAAAGAAAGAAAAGGAGATTGGAATGTGACTTAGGGAAAATATGTTTTACACAGCTGATCTTTTTTTTTAATTCAATAGAAAAAAAACAGACATTCAATGAAAGGGAGATATTATTGTTATCCCTTTAAAGAGAAATAAGAAGTGAATGGGTAATTCAATAAAAAAAATTCTTCAAGGAAAGGCAAGTTAACAAGACAAAAAACTAAATAATGAAACCAAAACTAGTTCATGATTCTCAGGCATCACATAGTTATTGTTTGTTTTTTGATTTACATTGGTTAACAGCCAAAGAAAACAAGGAATGAAGGAGCAATAAATAGCATTTCCAGATGTTAGATTACATTATAAAGCAATATAAAACCTGTTACACTAAGCTCTCTCATAGAGATTATGGATTACTATTACTGTATCTTTAAAAGCCAAATGGAATTCTATAATGGAATGTTGTGGGAAAGACAGTTGGAAGTTTCTGTTGAAAAAAAAAGGAATTGTTATGAAGTATTTAAACCTATGGCATAAAGGACAAAGTGTATGGGGTTCTTTTTCATTTTGATATATGAGAATTTATAAGAATTGAGTTTGATAAAGAAGCCACCATGCCTAGAGAGAACTGTGTAAGACTCAGTGAAAGGAGATGGAGAGAACTTTTCTGAGGATTCTATCATCACCTTTATCATATGAAAAGGATTTTTGAGAGCCTTCATTTGGTACCCTGAGAAGCAGAATTATGTTCTACTGGGTGTTCACAAATGATGAAAAATCATCTGCCATTATATTGAGTCTTTTGTACCATCAAAATATTGTAAATTATTATATGTTTTTATTATTGATTTCATTTTAATAAGTTATATCCTGAGGACCAAATGTGGGCTAGACATTCCCTCCAGAAGTGTGTAGATCCAGTCTCTAATGCAAATTCAAAAGTTGGAAAGTAAGACTGGAAAAATGAGTAAATAAAAAAGAATCTCACCATAAAAATCTATTATGGTGACAGAGATGCCCAAGGCAAAAAACTGGAAGAGGTAAATTACTCCAAAATATCTATGAACAATACCTCAAAGAAAATCACAGCTTTTGACATGTTCAGTTAGATTTCCTAAAAGAAATAAAATAAGAATTTTGAAAATAATTAAAATTATTTCATAAATAAAATGAAAGCGATAGAGAAAAGAATCTGAACAGAAATGAGAGCTATGGAAGAAAAATTTGGAAAGAGGGTTTAGCAAAAAAAGAAAGAGAGAAATACATTTTAAAATAAAGTACAGACATAATTTCCATGACAGTAAAGTCTATAAAAAGAAACAGAATTAGAATGCAAAAATGCAGAAACAAATGGAAAAGTACTGGAATGATTAATTTTAATTCTATAAGAATATAAAATACATGATAGCACTATCAAATAATACTAAATTAAAGACAAGATGTAAAGAGATAATCTAATCATTACAGACCTTTCAGAAAAACATTATAAAAAAGAAAATATGAACCACATTTCATAAAGTCATAATAAATATGGTCCAGAAATAATTGGATACAGGGAGCCTTAAATAGGGAAATCAGAAAAATCCACAGGACACTACCAGAAAGAAAACCCAATTTTAATTCACCAAGATATATTTTAGTCAAATTTTAGAACTATAACAATAAAGAACACATTTTTCAGGTAGCAAAGAGAAAAAAGAGCCTTCAAATTCCAAGGAGTACCAATAAGAATAGAATAGGATACATATACACATACAGAGAGAGAGAGAGAGAGAGAGAGAGAAGTTATAAGAAACCAAAGCGGGAAATGGACTATAACATTCTGAATGATTGAA